AAAATGGTAGGATGAGCGCCGGTAGAATTGGAATAGCCAGCGACATCGTACGTGAAATGGCTCGAACAGTTGAGATTAAATCAGTGCTTAGGTCAAAGGCTCACCTATTTAATCAATCGTATAACATAGTTGCAAGACTTCGATCCCGCGGCTTAAATGGGCTTTCTTAGGTATATCTCTGGGCACATTCGTCTCAACATAATCTGAAGTACAGGTGTCCTAGAGAACTGTGGGGTATGGCGGGTGGTTCTCCGGATTGAAAAGTCACAGCTGCAGTGGTTTGGGCATGCCTTTGCTGTCTTTCAATGCTTTCACAAGGGAAGACGACATCGCTAGTTTTCGTCGAAGACCTAGGACCGAATACTCCGGCAAAGACCAAGGATGACCTGGGGCAAGCGAAGGACTCTACTCCAGACTGAGGTTATTTTCTGCCGAAGCTCAATTGCCAGATGATCAGGAACGTCTCATACACTCTCGACACGCCTTTCTCGAAATCGTAAGCGGTCATCGAAACTGACTGAGTTGTTTTTTGCTATTTTATAGATTCGTAGTCTTTTCATTAAATAACTGGAGAATTGTATGTTTTATTAGCAATAATCATAGCTAGTATGTGATTTGTTTGTGTAGGCTTGAAATCGCAAGACATCCGTGTCCGTTGTGAGACAATTTACAAGATTTCTGGTTGCTTTGAAAAGCACGAATTCCCTACATTCGTTAACGCTGTTTTTTTGAAGTTAGCAGAGCATTTCCGATGCGGGTATATAAAAATTTTGTCAAAATTCGCAGAATGAATTGAAAAGCTTTTATTTTCAGATCTAATCTCTTGAGAAAATGCATTGTCGAAGTGGTTACCACCAACGAGAAGCAATGCAACAAAATAATCAGTGGCGCAGAATTGGCAAAACGAATATTTTTGGTATCGTATAGTAACGATGCAATGGCTCGTGCCTTAACATTACGGTATGTAAGTTGTGTTGGAAGGTATGTGTATATCTGTTTTCAGACTTTACGACTAGACTAAGCTTGATAATGACGAAACAATTTAATATTTAGAGGCAGGGCTTGTGAGAACAGTCAGACATTGCAAGATGTAAAGTTTTTGTTCCCTGAAGTAGATATGCCAAGAATATTGTAATAAGAATAATCATATTCACCGTTTTATAGTTGTAGACCAAAATAAGTAGAATCATTTTTAACATGTCATAGTTGTTTCGTCGAACGTTGAATCTGACAGCGCTTCTGCAGGGAGGGATTCAATAAGGTACGAAAAATCAGCAATTTAAAGCTGCAACGGAGATATAAGCACATTGAAATTTACGATACATGACTGAATGCAATTATTTACTGTTTTCTTTGTTGTCATCCATAGTTGGAGAATGCCTGACTGACCCATACAGAACTGATACTCGCTTAAGTTTTATGAGACACGAAGGCGAATTCCCATCACGTTATTTACATTAGTGAACTATGAACATGCCAGCGAGCTTCCCATTCTCTCAGCAGTCAGGTTCAAAAAATAACAGATTATTAATAAGAAAAAGCGTTTTTAGAGGCCTTCCTTCAGATGTGGATCGGCAAGGGTTGGTGATGATGACGGCAGCACTTTTAGACAATTCGTTTATCAAAAGCCCTCATATGTCTCGGCATTATGTTTCATTTCTTAGTTCTTAGTGCTGATATTTGGTGAGTTTACGTACTGTGAATGGAACGTATGGTTTACTTTTCGCTTTGGAATGATCAACAGCATGGTGAACCCTTTTTATGCAAGAAATTAGGGAGAGGAACGATAGAACTGGGCTGAGTTGAAATGGGCGTTCTTCCGATGGAAGAAGAATAGACAGACCAACCTCATGGCGCAACTCTTCCACCAGAACCTGATAACACTAGATACAATTGAATTTCATTAGCTTCAAGAGATTTGAGACATGCCGGAAATATTTATATTAATAATGTCTGTCAGG